TTTCCTATTTGCTTTTCCAGCAGGGGTTTCTCCCTTGCATGAGTGCGTCTGCTGCTTGTGAAGGATCGGGAGAGTCTGTGTCTTTTCTTGGTCGTACAGAATGCTGGCCTTGTGTTTCAGGTGCTGTTTGTTTTAAAGGTGATGAATATATTTACAGCCTTGCTGGAAGGAGGGAATGCAGATTTCTCTTTTCAGTCTCAGGAGACCACCTGTAGTAATAATTTCTGCCTAATTTTTGATTCTGTGCATGTCCAAATTCAAAGGGAGTGAGTATGCAGAACAACTTCATCTGTGTCCAGCTGTGTATTTTTGTCCCTCTGTGTATACATACAGATAAAATAACTCCCAAATCAAAGGTCTTTAAAAAATCCCCTTTATTAAAATATACTCTTGAAAGGTCATAAGCTGCAGTATTTATCTGCCACCAGTAAATTTTAAGCATTTTCCTGTGCTAACCTCACCCACCACGATTTGCCATGCAGAGTGGGTTTGTGTTTGCCTATGTTAGTATGTAGACTTCATAGTAAATTATCTGGAGCCTCTAGGAACGATATTGGGAACTTTTCCACTGCCAAAAAGTGGTTTATGAATTTCTGTCACCACCTTAAACACTTTTTTCTTATTTAGTAATATATGAAAAGCAATATAAAAAAATCCTGGGTGATGTTTCTAAAATGTCTTATCTTGCATCCACATTATAAAGCTAGCTTTAAAAACTCTAACTCAATTCTCCCCAAAGTTCTTTTTTTACCCTTGTTTCATACTGTGAAGGGACCTCCTCCACCTCCCTTTCCCTAAAGGGCTTTCGAACATCTGGGTTGAAAGGCTCAATTTTTAAATCTGATTCTGAAAGCCTTTTAATTTCTCCCCCCGCCCCGATTTCTTAATGTAGGTGGTGAGGTGCCAATGTGAGCTGTTATGAAATCTCTAAATATATGGCTTTGGTTCTTTAAAGTTTATATCTTAAAAAAAAAAAAAAAGAGAAAAAATTAAAGATCTCCCTCATTTCAGAGCTTCTAGTTGAGCATTTTGATGCAGACAGAGTTCAAAGCATTAATATTTTTTAGTTACCATAGCAGGCTGCATCGCCTGCGGTTTTCCCTGGTGTTTCTTAAGGGTTTTCCCGTATCTGTCTTGTGTGATGGACTAATACAGAGCATCTGCTGCAAACGCATCTGTCAGCGAGTGTCTTGTTATGTATTTCCCCCAATTTCCAACAGCCCTGCTTGGGAAGGAGCTGCAGTAGTCCGTGCCAACACGATGCTGTCCTGCAGGCTCTGCTGGACCAGGCAAATCGGAGCCGCGTCGCCACGCATTTAAATGTTGCGTAGCGCTAATGAGATGGCAGATGCTAGCTAATATTTTTAAAGATGTCAAACAATACACATGGTAGGTGCTAAAGAGTGTTTAGAATGCATTTATTAAATGAATATCCAAACTTGTAACACAGATTTCTTTGGTAACTCCTACTGTGGAAAAGAGAGTATTTCTTTTTAAGACTGAACATACAGCATTTTAACTTCTTTTCCTATATGCCTGCAGCTAGCTGTTTTAAAAGACATCTATTCATGTATTTCTTAATGGTTTGCGTAAGTGAAGGTGGTCAGTTGGGACTGAAAGAGAATTGCTTTGCAGCAAGGTGACTTCACGGAAACATTCATGATTTTGTATTTGCTTCCACAATATCGGTAACCCTAAAGTATTTCTTTTAAAAAAGGAACAAACTGAGTATGATAACATTTGTCAATAGAAGGTGGTTATGGTTCATCTAAAATTCCTTACTAATTTACAAAATTACTTTCTGGTTCTGGAGAAATACTCGTTATCTTGCATGCACTTTGATATTTATTTTGCTGTCGTTTCGGAAGGTGTAAGTCACTGTTGAGTGGTGAAATGAATTCCTGAAGCTTTGGTGGATATAAGTACAAAGGTGATGTTGAAACATAAACAAGTTATGTGAATAAATGTGCCGAAAGTGTGTGTTCTCCTCCAGGTTGAAACACAAACTGTCAGCTCTTAAGTGACTTACCAAGAATATGTTCTTCCCAAAGTGGCAAATTAAATGCTGCTCATTAAGTAGTTTCTGAAATGCAAAATGAAGTGGAGCTGCAAGGATTTAGCTGATAAGGCTTTTCGAAAGGTGCATTAGGAATGCAGAGCAAACACCATCACCGCACCTTGTGTCTGTCTCTGCCTTTGCAGAGAAGGCATCCCTTAATTTGCAAAAATACATCCTTCCCCCCCCCCCCCCCACTTGTGTATTTCA